ACAGCCGTTTCAGTTATATTTCCATGTTAGTAAAATAAAAGATTATTTTCATTTAGCTATATTATTTGCATACTTCTTTTGGACAAGAATGCTTTAAATACAGAAAACATATATAATCTCAATTTATTAAGTTAATTCAAACACGCCTTTCTTAGAAAAATAATTTGCAAAATACGACTTATTAAAAACTAGATTAACTACACATTTCCTTAGTGTAGCAAATAGCAGTTTTAATTAAGCTGATTAATGATATAAATATAATGAAAGGATAATTTGCATAATAGCAGAAAATTTAAGAAGATTATGTTTTAAACTAGCCGATTTTAAGTGATCAAGCCCGAATTTAGCTTAAGAAATTAATATTTTATGTTTTCATTTTTATCTATTTGATGGATGCTCTATTGCGATCAAACTCGATGTCCGGTAATTATTATATTTTTGATAAATTGGGTAAGAGTGGTTTAATCGAAAGAGAAAAAAAAAGTGTGTTTTTTACACCACTTCCTTAAGGGAATTATTTATCAATAATGTAGTGGCGGGTTATCCATCATTTTATGTTATTCGCTGCAAATAGATTCAGAGTTGAGGAAAATAATATTATTTCAGACTTCAGTGATCCATAGTCGAGTAGAATCTTCTCACCCTTGTTAAATTGATTAAGCCTTGGCTCAAATTTATGACTTTTGATAAAGTAAAAATATGATTTTTATTTATTCTCTCCCTTTCTCAGCTAATGCATTAAATTTCGTTTTATTTCGTGCATTTTGGTAAATATATCACGCTGTTCTATCTTATTCTAACGGATATTAAATTATGCCTCCTGTGCATAACAAAGCATATTCATAGCTAGTTAAAGATGAAAATTTTATGCTTGGATATTTTAATCATTATCAGAAATATTAAAATATTTAGGAACGCAGACATAGATTTCAAGATAGGTACTTTTTATTTTTGTAGTTAAAACGACATGAAAAAATCACGTTCAATCATTCTTTTCTTTATATTGCAGCATTTAATCCTATAACTCAAACTCCGAGAGATTAATTTAAATCGACATTGCTCCATAATTCTATCAGCCATAAATTTAAGCACAGTTCAAACGACTTCTTTCAAATAAGAGATTCTTCTGAATTAACCTAAAGTAGCATTTATAATCGAATTTTCAGAAATGAATTTCGATGACAGCTTCTTGAATTTATCATATTTTAAAATTTAATTTAGTATGCAGTGTTTTAAAAGGTCTTGTTTTATGATTTATTTTCCATTCTACAAATGATATTTTTTGTCAAAGACTATGTCTATCAATTATGAGACAAAGTAGTACCATTTATGCATTTCTTTACATCGGTTTCAAGAAAACCTATTTTATGTTTTGTAATTTTTATGAATGTTAAGTTTTAAAAATACGATTACACTAAATATTTTCATCATTGTGTTGCACGGCAAAATATAAATTTAGGTATAAATTTTGCATTCACTGTAGAAGAAAACTCAATAATCTGTCAACAATTTTGCAGAGAAAGCTATAAAAATTTCGCAAAAATTCTAGGTCTTTAACTGTTGGATAAATGAGGCTAAATTCCAAGATACTGTAATTGAAGTCAAAACTTCTATACACTTTTTGTCCTTTCAGCATGAAATTAATGCTCCAACACTAGTTTTAATTCGTGAGTTTATTTTAATTTAACTTTAATTTTGCTATGATGAACCCCCCTAAACATTAAATTATAGAATTCTTAGCTACCTTTTTTATTTTTAACCTTCAGAAATAATAATAAGAAGTTCATTACATATGTGAAATATACACATATTTAATTTTGAAGGTTCCAAGGTAAAGTGCAAAAGCAGTAACGTATCAAAAGCTCTGGAACCATTGTTCTTACTTAGATCTCATAAAACCCTTTTTGTGTCGGATGAGTTTGGAAGCATGGAGTAAATGTAGCAGTCCCCCCTAAGTATAAATATTTATGAGCTTCAAATTTGCTGTTGCAATTAAAATTCGTCTTCCCTTAGGAGTCTGCCTAACGTTAAATCTTTACAGAAGTACCACAAATAGGATCACTTTATGAAATATGAATAACTGCATAGTTATAATTTTACTTCTGAGTCGCGCTTTTCTTTTTAATTTCGAAATTTCGGTACATACAAGAAGTAGAAATTTAAGAGAAATCAATGGAAATTAAGAGAGTTCACTGGAAACAGAACTTTAAAAGAGTTCGCTGGTGGAAACAAGCTTTATTTATCACCACATAAGGTATTTCTCCCGTCTTCTTAGCATGCCTTCGTAGTGTGGTGGTCTACACGCTGGTCACATATTCCAGAGGTCCGTGGTTCGATTCCCGGCGAAGGCATTACTCATTTTTCATTGTCCTGCTTCCAGAATACCTAATGTCTCTACAGTGGCACTGCCCGAACTAAAAGGATGGTGGATGATGATTCTCCACACCCAAGATTTGGCGATTGGGTCCGCTAAAAACCCCAGTCGCCCTTTTAAAGGGGGAGTATATAAGGTATTTCTCACGCCTTTTTAGCATGCCTTCGTAGTGTGGTGGTCTGCACGCTGGGCGCGTATTCGAGAGGTCCGTTTCGATTCCCGGCAAAGGCGTTGCTCATTTTTCATGACTCCTGCTTCCAAAAAATACCTAATGGCTCTACAACCATAAATTCAGATATAATGTTTTTTAATTATATTTAAAGTGTGAATATTTTAGCGTGTATAATAGCGTGTATATTTTAGAAAATACTTAAACAAAAATGCAGTAATATAAAATAAAATATTGCAGAATACGTATTTTCGTGTTCTAAACAAAGAGATGAAGTATGTTGCGAAGATTCACTGAAGTAAGCATACAGAGCTATAGGTATTTTTTTTCGGTAAAAAGAAGCTATGCCTTGGTTGCGATTCAATTATCAGATCTTCCAATTACCAGCCGAACTGTTTTCAGTTACATCTCCAGAGCATAAAGACAGAGGGAGAAAGAGAAACGTCCTTATAAATTGAAATCGCTAGCTTTAAAATTCGAAGATACAATTAGCTTATACGTTTAAATTTTCAGCTTTGAAGGCATCTTTTGCAGTTTTCAACTGATCTAAAAATTTTTGTCTTTAGGAAGTAGTTTCATGTGCAAAAGTATCTACTGTAAGGTTCTCGAAAATGGCGGTCGCAGTGATTTATCCCCCGTAAACATGTATATCATTACCACTAAACAACAACATATATCACATTTACTCTAACTGAGTAATTTACCACAACATCAAAAACACAAGACCAGACTGATACTCTACAGTTAAAGCACTCAGAGGCTAAAGACGTTAAACTAATGGCTATATATTGTCAAAACGAAGCAATGGTTTCAACATATGGTCTCCAGGCTGGTGAGGACCACATACACAAGCAAATGATGTGGCTGTAAAGTTTGGAGAATATTTTGCTCATCCAGACTTAGACACGTTGCTTTTCTAGATCGAGATCATATTACAGAAATATAAAGTAGTGTTCTGAAAGATCATAGTTACAATGTTACGTTTCACTGCTCTGCAAACAATAATTAAAGATATCCCTGAGGGCGGATTACATTAAAATATTTACAAAACCATTACAACACAGAATGTAAACAGTCTCTGACATTTTTTTAGTTCTAAGCTGTCTTCAAATCAAAAATAGGATCCACACATTGTTAATCTTACTCACAATTCAGTGAACACTAGCTTCAACGGGTATGGAAATAGGTTTGGTCTGGTTTATTTGATTATGGCAAAGGATACGAGAGCTATCTGACTGAGGAGATGGATGCCTTCGTGGAAGATTTTCTAAGAGAGACTGCCTCGTATACACGTTACACATAGGGGAAAACACGAAAATGCCTATGCAATCAGCTCTTTTGCCGGGAGTCAAATCCCGGACCGAACTACCAGAACTGGCGACTTACCGCCCGACCGATGATGAGCAGTATATAAATAGGAAAACACACTCAGAACTTGTTCAATAATACTTAGCCAATCAAATATTAAACTGTGAAATTATTTTTATTATCTTATTATTACCATCCAATTATGTGAGTATGCACTACATTTTGTCTTAAATGTGTGTGCATATTTTTTCAATAGTGTCTACCTAATTAAATGCACCAAATCATGAAATCATTTATTTTATCTTTTAAAATCATATCATCTTCTTATTTAAGTAATTTATTCAATATTACATTAGGTATATTACATTATAGTAATGTAATATTGAATAATGTATTATTACATTATTCAATAGTACATTACATACTACAATATGTATTTCTATTAATACATATATTTAATGAAAAATACTATTCTAAAACATTTATTAACATTCAGAGTTAAAAATAAAAATATGGATTTTGTTCTTTCAGAAGTACAGTTATCAGGTATGCTTTTGAGTTAATATTTTACGAAACTTTAATGTTTTTGAAATTTTTAGATTTTTGGAAAAAAAATAATCTTCTAAAATAATAACGGAAAAGCGCAAACAGGAAAACTTATAATGGGCATAAACGCAAACCCTTCCAAATCACATTGCTTGCCGTAGTTTTGAAAAGAAGATGACACTTCTTTCTGTTTTGCCATAAAAAGTATTAATTTTTTTAATACAACCCTCTTACTGGTTTTGTGTAATATTTGTCATCAATCCGCACTGAATTATTAGATAATTTCATGTAGTTTAGTGCTTTAGTCAGACTGTAAACTGTGACAATGATATGCACATGTGTTCTTATTTAGGATATAGTGAAATATAGATAAAAGAATAAGGTTATATTATCATCGTAAATTCAAATAAACTTTCACGTGGATATATATATATAGTATATGTTTCAGGTATTTTCAAACTATATTAAATATACATTTCTAATGCATGTATTTGATTAACTAATGCAAATATTTTAATTTTTGTTTAAATTTGTCGCAATTTACACTGACAATAATTATTATTAGAAAAACAAGCTAATCAGTTTTAAATTGTTTCGTTTCAGCCAATCAGAATCAGCACGAAATCTTATAAATATTATCAGAAGACGAATCTTTCGACCAATAATGAGGGACTTAGATTATTGATTTGCAAGTTGGTGACTTCAGGTAATGAAACTTAATGTATGATTTAAAATCTTTATGTTTAAAATTTCTTATCTCGTCTTTATGAAATTTACTACGTCTTTATTCAGTATCAACTTACTACAGTAAGGCCGAACTTCTATTCTTATAGCCTAATTATTTTGTAACGCAAATTATAATCTATGATAAGGCAAAATTTAACCATAAATGCTGTAAAATTGTCCTTCCTTTTTCTAATAAGAGTAAATGTCTAATGACATGCTTGCGATGCTCATTACATACAGAAATTTTAATGTTAATAGTATACATTTATATATAATAGCTGTATAATAATGTTACTTAAATGCTTGTTAAATTGTTTGCATCATTTCAAAAATATAGTATTATAGATTGTGTACGCATTTCTTTGTTAACTGCAATAAAAATAGCATTAGTATAAATGCAAACGTTGTAACTCAAAACTATTTATATGATACATTATAAAAAATACTTTTCATTGGATTTCGACCAAATAAGAGCTGTAATATATGGAAGAAAAAGCACACTAATTTTAATTAGGATTAGAAGAAATTTAACCTTAGACTGATTTTATTTAACCTTAGACATACTATGATGTCATAGAAAATTCTATGTCTTTGAAGGGTTGCAGTTTCAATTTTCCACAGAAAGCGTAGAGTTTCTGAATAAAAGAAACGTTAATTTAAATTTCACAGAGCACTAATATTGGCGTGTTTTCTTCCGTGTAGTGCTATTGCAATTAATATAAAATCTTGAAATAACTGAATATTTTTACCCCTTGAAGAAGACTTCCACGCCAATCTTACTCGAAGTCCATAAAGTTTGAAGTTCCGCTATAAACCCAGAGACAATCTAAGGTTGAATTTTACTTAATTTTAAAGCTGTAATTTGTTTCAGTGTTATATGCTAAAGTATTATGGTCTTGTCTTAAAAATTATCTTTTAAGCCACTTATAATTCAAACTCACAAATATCGTTTATTACGTAAAAGGTAGTAAAAGATTTGCTGTTTTCACAAAATCCTTTGCCGCCTTTAACAGATATCATTCACAACCACTGCATAACATATTCTTATCTCAAAAAACGCACTTGATATCCAGTTTAAAGAATAATTTTGACTAAATTAACGTGTGAGAGAGAAAACAATTGAATTGAAATTTTGAAACTAATTGCTTGAAATATTTTTATTTTTACTAGGTAACTGAAGGAGAGCAGTGAGACTGTTAAAACAATCAAGTCACTGCAAGAAGCTTGTCACGAATAAAACTTCCAGAAGATCATGTATTTCAGAAACATCATCGTCTTGCTCAAGGCGGCTACTCATTTTGTGTTTAACTTATTACTCTTAGTATTTAAGTTTAGTTTCCTTTGCCATGGTGTATAGCTCTGTTTGCCAGTGTTGTGTTTCACTTCATTTTTCTTGTACATTTGTTCTGTAAATAAAATATTATAAAGGATTAAAATGTGTTCTTCAATCAAAAAGTATTAATTTTCGAATCGCATAAATCATACATATTTTAAAAATAAAGAAACCGGGTATTTTATGAACAAGTAAATGTGATTCGATTTTTGTTAAATAAGAGCAATGGACAATCCATCAGAATTTTACAATAGGGGGCAATAATATTTTTTCTATAAACACGTTACCTTCATCTAAAGTTTTAAAACAAAACCGAAAAAAATATTTACTATTGCAATACTTTTAAGATGAATAACGGACAAATAATATCCCAAGTTACAGATTCATAAATAATTTTTAATTTAATAAACATTTAAAACTAACTGTTCGTAAATTAATAAATGACATATGAAATCACTTTAAAGTTATATCTATATCTAGCTATCTAGCTATCTACCTATATATGTATTTAAATAATGCTTCACAATCATTAGCAAATACAAAACGAACTGTAAGAGGAGTAAAAACTATTAAGTCAAAAAAGGAATAATGGAATTTTGTAATAATTTTTGGATTTGCGATTTTTACTCCTTTAAAAGTTTCTTTTGTATTTGGCAATGAATATGACGATTTAATTTTTTTAAAAAAATATACTTAAGGTTACGGATCGAACTTGCGACTTCTGTTACATTGCTCTATCGACTAGAGGCTGTCCACATTTTCTCCCTCTTTCCAGCACCCCTTCGTGGTGTAACGGTTGTAACGGCCATCATTTTTCACGTCTCCTTCTTTAAAAAAAAAAAAAAAAAAAAAAAAAAAAAAAAAAAACTAATGACTCTACCAGCTTTACTATTATACATTTATTGCAGCTACCTTTGCTAGCTATAAATAATTTTTTTAGTTCTTTATACCATATTTTATATTTTACTTTGCTTCTGTTTAATTTTGAATTATCTTATTACTATCACAGACATAACTCTCTCTCTTTACGCTCACAAACACATATTTCTTCTTGTGCTCCTATTGCGAGAAAGTAGGCATTAATTATTATAAACGAAAATACAGAATTTTCCAAAAGCAAAAATTGACTGACCCAATGAAACTCTAATGAAATGAATTAATCCAATGACATCTAATTTTGTCTTATTAAAATCAACAGCTGTTTCCATAAAAGTATGATTTTGTTTCTTCTAATAAATTAGTAATTAAATGCATGTATTTAAAGTGACTTGCCATATGGTTATCCTAGTTCACATATGATACAAACGCATAAAATATCATAAAATACCATAATGCTAAAAGCGTTCTAATGGAAATGGATGACAAACACGCCAATATAAAATCTAAAATTAGCCAAAATAGCAAACTTAGTTTGGACTAGATTTCGAAAAAAAGTACTGATTTCGAGGGCTATCAGACAAAGGTTCCTCGTTTTCAGGAGAAAAAAACATATGTACTCAAAATGTTATTGCTCTCAAAGAAAAACGACCTGCACCTAATCTCCCACTAAATCAATACAGTATACAGTTTTATTTAACATCTGCATTTAAACTAAGGTAGCTTTTCTGCACATATTTAGAGCTCAAAATGTTTAAAAGGAAAATTTCAAACTTCTTAAATTTTTCAGAATTATATTATTTTATCGCTGGGGAGAAAAGGAGATGGTCTTAATGATGCAGCTAAATAATTTATAATTAAAATTGCGGTTTATAACCACACGTATTTCGGGTAAGGAAAACGTTTGTAAGTTATCTCATGTTAGTAAACATAATATTAGTAAAAAAATAAATCTATTCAATCTCGAAAGCCTGAAGTAGTAAGTTAAATACAACCGCATTGTAAACTAAAATAGACAATGGATCGAAGTACAAATTAAGAATTTAAAATACTGTTTTGGATAAGTTACTATGAAAAGTTTCCATGTATGCCATTTGAGTTAAATCTTGAAAATACGGACTTTACATTTCTAAAATATTAAAGCAGATTAAAAAATTCTTGTTTTATTCCATAAAATTAAACTCAAATTTCTATGAAAAGTAAGAAAGTCAAAAATCAGGTTTGTGATTCCATACCTGTTAGGGACTTTCTGTCAGTTGTCGTTAAATCGAAATTAGAAACGTTGTATCAAGACCTCATTACCACCTACGTCGCCAAGCCTTTGGGTCCAGGATTCCAGATATTAACCCAAGTAGCACACGACGTTGCAAACTGGTCCGAGAGGTTGCAAAGTGGTCGTGGTAATTTTTACGACGTCGTTACAACTTTGCGAAGACGCAAAATACTTGCCGTTGCATCTTGGCAATTTGTCGAAGTTGCTGAAACGTCATGATATGACCGCTTTTAGACGTGGTCGTTTTATCCTTTTTTTTTTTTTTTTTTTTTTTTTAGTTCATCAGCATTATTTTGACAATGAAAAAAAGCATTATTTTTAGAATCTGCCCTTTCAAGAATCTGAAGTCCGGATAACATTTACTTTGCAATGTTTCATTACTTTATTTCATCTAAATATAATAATTTAAGGTAGGATCATCTAATGAAATGTAAATTTAATATAAATACTTTTGACTTATTAAATTTAATTAGTTCTAAAAATACGTTCTAAATAATTGTTTAGAATTTTGTTAAAGTAATTAATGCCTAAAATATATTTTATAAATATTATAGCAAAATATTTAAAAATGAAACTAATCTATAAAGTAAGTTATTAAGTTATGCATTTTATATACTTTAAAAAATCATATTTCCCAAATGAATGCAAATCACATGTTAGCACTACTGAAATATCTTATTTTTGAAGTAAGGACGAACTCACGGCTGTCCAATATATATGGCGGAAGGGGAAGCAGACGTGTACATTATTTATTGAATGCTTATATAAACGAACATGTCGAAATTTGCGCGCTCGCTTTGGCTAGCTGCCAAATTTGAACAACTACGCAATTAATTCAGATTCTAGCAGTTCTTTCAAGTGATTTGGTAAAGATGCCATCTGTAAGGCGTTTGAAAAGACTTACTTCATATTTGAAATTGAATCAAGGAATGGCTGATATAAATAATATTGCTTTTCTTAATAGTAAATGTAATGCACTGTCAATCAAAGAACGCATTGTGAATCTTCTCATTGTTCTGTATCTACTTGCTTCAAGTGCATTCAGCGAGTGAAATTATCCAGAATACAAAAAATGCCACAAGGCTAATTGTGAATCTAGTGTTCGTGAAATAGCGTCTCTGTGGTCTATAGTAGTCTCTGGAATATAGTGTTCGTGAAATAGTGTTTCTGTGATCTATAGTGCTTTCTGGAATATAGTGTTCGTGAAATAGTGTTTCTGTGGTTCGGGCAATAGTGTCTCTGTGGTTCGTGAAATAGTGTCTGTATCCAATCACTGTGGTTCCAGCGGTGCAATATTCTGATAAACTTACTAGCTTTGTGTTTCGATTATAACGTCCTATTGGCTTTCAGAATTAATTCATATAAAACTAAAAATAGCATACAACGGTAAGCCACTTTCTGGTTTTGCTGAAAATGCAATCAATACAAAAACAACAACAATTCAAGCTTTTATGGTATGTTCATTATTTTCAAAATACAACGAAATTATTGGACACCAGTACTTAATATGACTGCTGAAGATGAATTAGATATATGCATAATATAAGCAATTAATTAATTATTAAAATTAATAACAATGCATATTGTCTTTTGTACAGTATGCAGAAAAGGTTAAGAATTTTAAACAGTGTATGAAATGTATGAAAGAAAAACTAGTGTTAAGGAAACATTAGCATTTCTATGAAATATTGTAATTTATAATTATGTGATATTTAATTGTGTAATATTCAAAAACACTATTTTTTATTGATTGCAAATCGCAGTTTTATTACTTTTCGTCTGGTATCTATTCTTCCAAACATTGTGTAATTCGCGTTTTTTTTTTTTTAATATTGCCGTTATGTATGTTTATTAGATTATCTCAATAAATGAATGTTGGAAATCAGGTTTCATTTTTTATTAAATTTAAGTATATTCTATTTTTTCGCTAACTTTTTATGTGCTTGTGATAACAAAGAAATTCATAATAAACAGAAACAAAAAGTTTCATCGTGTGCTCTATAACGAAGAGCTTACTTTAACGTACTTAGCTTACTATCGTATACAATATTATTTAAATTATTTCTGTACAGTAACAAAAGGAAAGTTATTAATTATAAAAAGTACACGAAATAATCATTGTAATCTATCACTATTTTAAAATGTAAAAACTAAAAATAAGTAAATACATTAACATATGATCGAAAGAAATGGTGGTAAGAATCATGAGCATTACTAGTAAATACTGCAATCCATAATTATTGCACTTTTAATTGCTTACTATTTAAAAAACACAAATATTTTTGTATTATTTGGAAATTTTAGTTCTGTTACCTTCCTTCTGCTATTTATACTTTCAAACACTACTAGTAATGCTTTTTCTCAAATAGTGCTGTCATGTATGCTGTTTGGTTATTATTTCATTTTAGATATGAATATGGGAAGTTATTAGATTTAGGTATATTTTTGATCACATTTATTAACTACTTTATACTGTCTTTCATTTGCATATCTTGGAGATATAGAAGTTAATGGTTATATTTTTTACTGTGAAACGCGAGTAAATTTATACTAGAGTTCAGGTAAAATACTGTCAGATCGTCTTAGTCGGGTTGAGGATAGCATTTATTTTTAAAGTCGAGAAATTCACGGGTTGTAATTACTGAATGTTTTGTATGGAAAAGACACGTCCCACTCTCTAAAGAAGGGGAAGAGAAGACGCACCATGTTGACGTACATTTAAAAATAAATATTAGGAGTAACTAGTGATAAGGCTTTTCCGTTGATAGGCTGATTTTTCTTTTGAAGCTTGAATCTGCATATTATTAAACTTCCTTTTAGCTACCTGTAAATTTAACAGCTTTAAAAATAAATATAACGTTTTCTTAAATTTCAAGATGAAAAGTAAATGAAGAAAATTGTCATTTTTTATATAATATCCAAATAAAAAGGTATGGCTTTCAGTTTTTGTTATT